TAATTTGCATGATGATGATGAAAAAAGTCACAGAAAAACGAACTGAGAAAATTGAGGTGATCGATCTAACGGTTGTTGATGAAGATGTGGCGAAACCATCTCTCATCTCTGAGGATGAAAAAATCATCAAAATTAATGACAACGTATTAAGGATTATCTTTAAACATGTTATTGATGAGATATTCGAAAACATACTTAAAGACGAAAATGTGGGAAAGGAAGCTGGAAACATCATGTGCACTGACAGAAGATTCAACATTATTTTCACCAAAGTTTTCTTTAAAGAACTCGATTACTATGTCAAAAAAATGAGAGTTTTTGAAACAGTGCTCCTATCACAAACCGAAATTGAGGTAACCTCTGAAATCAATATCGAAAACACAAAACACTTGGAATCACTCCCGGAAATCAAAAAAATGTACAGAAGTGAATTTCTACTAAGAGTTATGACCAAAAATAAATCTTTAGAAAATATTTTACTGAAACACAAATATCAAGCTGTCACCGAGTATATTAATATGATATTAGAAGACATAATGAGTATTAGAGACGATTTTGACAGTCACATATTTGCCATGATTAGAAAAATCTTTTCGCTCGAAGCACTCGAAAAAAACGGATTACAAGATATGTTACGAATAAAATACCAAAAAAAAGTAACATATAAAATAGATGTAATTGAATTATTAAATTTGTGGTGTGTTGTTAATAATTTCGTAAGCCTATTACACGATTTAAGTCCAGAAGGTTGATACTTTGCATTCATCGAAAGTGGTTTATTACGCAAACTTTACAATAACTTTCAGAAAGATTACGAAGAACCACTCACCGCCAAGAAGTTTATCGATTTAGTAAAATTCAATCTAGATAATACATCAGGTTTTAACGCAAATTACAAAATATTTTCTTGTTTACTTTCGAAATATGTAGCCAGAGAATTCAAAGAAATTATGCATAATGTCATTATATAACACCGCATATTTAATTGTTAATAAATTTATACTTTGATAAATACAATCAATAAAACTTTCAAGGAATAAAATAATTTTTCTGTGAACAGAAATGTGTTATTAAGGTTTATTGACAACCTCTTCATAAGCACTCAAAAATTTCATACGCGACTGTCATCAGTGGTATAAAACGCGTATATTCCTTGAAATAAATAGTTAGAACCCGATATCGATATCATTTTTTTTTTGGGAACATCCACTCCTAATTAGGAAAGAGGTTGATTGAGGTTGATTATAAAATGAATTCATTCAAATTCAATTGACAAATTTTGAGAGCTGAAAATTTTTGTGAAGAATATGCAGTCATCCTAATTATGCATGATGTTGCTAAAACTTTCCTGTGATTGGAGGCAGCTGATTTTTGCGACGTTGGCTTTTATTGTGAAACATTCACTCCTAATTAGGCATGAAGTCGATTCATAAAAGAATTCATTCAATTCCAATTGACAAATTTTGAGGTTAAAAATTTTTTATAAAGAATGTTATGATAAGAATCTTTCGTTAAGAATACATAGGTCTGCCAAACTGAAATAGAAGATTGAAGTTGAACTATGACAAAGCTCTAATTCAAAATTGTACTTTATTCACTATTCAGTAGGGATTAGGCGGAGAAATTTTTTACGTCATAACTGAGCTATCTTTATTTTGGAAGGAAATATATTATAGAACAATTCTACGAATTCTAACAACTATATTTCGTAACATTCTTGTTATTCTTTTTGTTTTCACCGCTTTCACGAATTCTTTGAACTTGCACAACAGATTGCCGCGGCATTACTTGGTTGAATTTGCCTTTTAAAGTGAACAAGTGCAAAATACATAGAGCGACATTCACAGTTTACGTATACCCAATAGTGTATTATACTTCAAATTTGATAATACAATAGTATCTACAAAATGACAAATATAAACGTAACACAATCTTTTGTAATCGATGAAGTTTAACTTATCAAAGAAAATTTAAACAATTCAAGTTTTTTATTTTAAAACAATACATAAATATAATTCTTATCTTAATTTTTGTGACAATTAATATAGAATTCTTTTGGTTTTAATTGTCACTGAAAAAGAATTATTTGTCACTGAAATTAGAATTCAAATTGAATTATAATCTAATGTATAATATTGGTAAAATAAGTTAATTAGGTGTAAAGTGTAAAGTGCCTTTTTACGCGTATTCTAAAAGATCAACAACATTTTTTGTAATGGATCTTTTCAGTAAACGCCGCTTGTTCTCTGCTGTCATAAATCTTTTTTGATAGTTTTAAATATCACTTCGATCTTTTTCGATGTTTATAGAGATTTAGTGTCGTGGCCACTTGCAGTTATACGGGGTCTTGTTCGTTTCCACTTAGACAGAACACTCACTTGGCGCTGGTGTATCGTACCAGGCACTGCC